ACACACACACACACACACGCGTGCGTGCACACGCGAAAAGTAACAACCAAGCAAAAACTATCACGCTTCCAGCTATCCATGCACCAAGTACTGTAGCGTCGTAAGTTGGATTCTCGAGCCGCATGCGAAGAAATATTCAAACCAGGCACACAAACAGCCCCACACACACACACATACTTGTGTGTTTTGCTGACAGACAGCAGAGAGATGGAGAGATACGTAGACAGTGAGAGTGAGAGAGATAGAGAAATAGCCAAAGCAAACAAAGAAGGACAAACCGCGAGCAAGAGGGGGAGAGGCCACATCCTCAGAAAATGCTCTGACGGCTTCTTGCTGAATGCAAGCTATAACGGTGGATAAAGGTCTATGAGTCTATAAGCACCAATCCTAATGTATGAGCCTTGCCCTCAGCAACTGACGAACTGAGAACAAACGTTAAACGTGACATGCTGAGTTCCGATTCTGCTGTAAGGCTGCAGGTTAAGCTGTTCGCAAGTTCCTTTTTCACAGAATCTCCCAAGGCGTGTGCGGCCATGTCTCGGATTGGGCGGCATTTGAGAAAGAGAGGCGGAATCCATGGAGTGTTGCATCATGATCCGACGTGCTGTACATGACTTGAGCCAAGAGCACCTCATGGGAGCAACCCTTCGCTACTTACAGCATCTATCCGAATCTATCCACGACTGGACGGGCAAAAACACCCCGGCCTGGACAAGCATAAGGCATGAGGTGCATATGCGGTCCATCTACAAAACAACGGGGCCCCGTGCGAAAGAATAAATCCTCAACGGCAAGCTGCAACAAGGACCCGACCGGAAGAAATGAAATGGATTCACACCGATCTGATCGCTTGCGCGAGAGCGGAGAATGTAGCGATAGAGCCTTTAGGAGTCGAGGAGGGCTCTCCGGTGTTTTATGCTACGGTTTAGGTATGTTTAGGTATTATAGTCAAATGATAAACTACAGCCCAATCTCTAGACCGTCATAACACCCGCAAAGTACAGCAAACTTACAACAAATAAGCGAACTTCGACCGGCCACTCTCCTCAAAATCCTCGCGATGCCCAGGTGTTTCCCACCGGCTGAGCTGTCGAGGTCGTGCTGCAGCGAACACACTAAGTGCCGGGGTGCAGATGTTCAGGGGTCAGCTTTTAGCATTTAGGGAGGTGAGGGCATCATAGAGCAGACTGTTATCGCGAATCACAAGCTTGGCACGCCCCTGCCTTCGGGTCCTCCCAGGACAACGCGTCTTTCCATCGCTCCTCCCAGCCTTCTATCCACTCCTGACAAGAGGACGCTATTTACTCCTCAGGCTCCATGTGCCCACATAGTCTACATGGTATATGCATGGGCCTTAAGGGGGTTCCAATATAGATACTGTAAGGACTAAGTATCTACTATATAGGTCTAGTATAGGTACATGGAGCCTGAGGGTATCATCCGCGCCGAACGTACATCTCGTAGGAAGAGACCAAGAAGAGTGGATCTTAGAATCCCTTTAACAGTGACAGTTGCAAGTCAAGCTGCCCGAGCCAAGAGTATCTAAAACCACTTCCGGTACGAATCCTAGGTGCATTGATTATACATCATCAGGCAGATAAATTGTAAGAAAGGGTAACATGTACTTGCCTCTAGGTCTCTGCCATTTGGCAGATACGACGGTCACACGACAACGAAACCACAACACCCAGTTTCACAAAAGATCGTGTGCAAACATCCACAGGTCTAAACCCAAGCTAGGCTCCCAAAGCACGCCATAAGCCCTGTAAGCCCAAGCCCTTGACGCCAAGGGCTTCGGATCCGGGCTGCAGTCTGCAGGGCCTAGGGTTGGGTCGCCGGCTAAACCCGATAGTCTCCACGATTTCCCGCCTATATGCTGTCAGATGTCCGGTGATGCTGAGTTTCAACTAGTCAGTGTAGTTTCATTCATGTAGTTTCTCGATCTCCAGTCAACTCCAGCATCGGCGCGGGAGGCCAATGATGACAAAACGTCCACCCGAACCTTATAAAACCATCACAGAGCATGTTTATACAACTCCTATGAACCCTTCTTACAAAGCCTGAAAACCTTGAACCACTGCCGCTCATCGCAGGCTGGGGCTCGAGGCTTTCTGGATTGCGATTCTCCTTCCTCGGAGGGAGGGGTGCATTGTGATATTATTTTGGTTTAGTGGAGCATAGTTGTGTAATGTGGCTACGCGGGTTTTGGGTGGTGGGGTTGTCGATCTATGAGGGTCTCTGTCCTTACCACGCCAAGCGTTCCATGGTCCCCGAAAGGAAAAGGGAAGTGATGATCCAAGCGAATAGCCGGCTAGCAGCACCGATTGCTAGGTAAACAATCTTGCGACTGCCAATGCCCTTGAGAATTGTGGCTGGTTTTGGACTCCTGCGCGCTGGCCGCTAGTGCTGTCCAGCTTGCGATTCGGAAGTTCACCCGTGTCAGCACAGCTGGTTTTGCGATGAATGCCGCTGAGAATAGCTTCATCTTTTTCCAGCGGCACTTCTCATCATGGCTTCTCTTAACGCGGTTCGGTTCCTAGCGCTGATCAGCAACTGTAAGATACAGCGAGCCAGTGAAACCTTCGATAGGACACTTCGGCACCGAGTCCTTGAGGAGCTTTTTGAGTCCGGGTGTGGGATATAGGGTTCGTGCCACTCAAGTCTATAGGGCCTAGGGCTAGCTGATGACTGCCAAGCATCAGGAACTCGTAAGCAAGCTCCACCTCTGACTCCAGGTTGAACTCAGGGTGCGCATTGCCAATCTCCACATACCTCACTCAGGCTTTAGGGCTTCAACTCTCACAGCTTGGCGAAGTGGGCGAGGGATGAATGCATGCGAAGAACATGAGAAGTGACATCTATATTAACACTGTCGAATCAGAACTAGTCATATCTTGGGGTACTCAATCCCTGCATCCTTAAACACATCTGGGAATACATGCACTTGGGGATCGGCGAGAGGGCTTCAATGGGTACTCTCCCTCTCTCGTGAAATTATTGTCGGGAGCGTGCAAGCTTGTGGATGATGGCCATGTCCTTCATTTTTCGGGTTTCGGTTTGTTTTTGGAGTTTATGGCTCAGGGTGTGTTAGCCTCCTACTTCGAATGGCCAGAGTTTGTAAGGTCTGATGGGATCCTTCACCTCTTGCAGAAAGCTGCAGCTTTACGCTTTGCCGATTACTGGCTATACAGAAACGCGACTTGCCTCTGAAAGCTCCTCATGACACCAAGGTCGTGAAGTCCATTCTTATAGCTGACTTGCTCCTAAACCGACTTGAGATGAATTCGTCCTCTGCTTTCATGCCCACAAGCTCAGACAGCTCTCTACATCATCAGCTTGCCCACTGATGATGCCGGAGCTGGGAACTTTGGTAGTTTTGGGCTTATTCCCGAACTGTACACCACAAGCAGGAACCTTAGACCTTAGACTCCAAATCCGAGACCCCTAAAGTGCGGCCACAGCATACCTTTCTGTAAAATAGATGCTATCACCCTACACACCCATATAGGCCCTCGTAGAACTCACATATCAACTTCCTGACTTTCATGACGGACCTTTCATATTCAATCGCAAACTCGAGCCATAGCCAGAGGTGCGCGGAGGGCCGAAATGGCATCCGAGCCTTAACGTAAAGGGCCCGATGAGCAGGCACCAGGTAGACCTGTCAGGGGTTTGGTCGTGTGCTAGGCTATCGGGTCTGGCGCCGAAGAACAGCTTCCAAACCCTTGGCTCTCCCTGAACCTCTCTCTCCGTCTCTTCCTTCCTTCCTTCCTTCATTGCTTCTTTCCGTTCTTCTGAGACCTTGAAGGTCCTTACGGCAGACCCCACGCCTCGTGCGCAGACTCTCGCTCTCTCTCTCTCTCTCTGCCTTGCTTTGACCCCTATCTCTCTCTCTCTCTCTCTCTCGCTTCTTCGGGCCTTAGGGGACGTTCGAAGTCCCCTGGCCGCAGGTATGTTTTATTGGGCTTTGAAGGAACTGTGGCAGCTTGCTTATGGGGACACATACCAGGGATCCGACTGTAATGTATAGTAAACTGCAAACACGGTATGTCCCCGACAAAGTTTGGACACCTGCACGAACTGTTCGCTCAACCCGTCGAACTTCGACTTCCCTCTCTCTCTATCTCTCTTTCTCTTTCTCTTTCTCTTTCTCTTTCTCTTTCTCTTTCTCTTTCTCTTTCTCTTTCTCTTTCTCTTTCTCTTTCTCTTTCTCTTTCTCTTTCTATTTCTCTCTCTCTCTCTCT